TATGTTCACTGTATTGTGGTGTTATGGTGGTCAGGGTGTTTAGGTCACCACAAAAACCCGCCATAACATATACAGTCATCCAGTATTTTTTTTAGGAAGTTCACGATGAATATTACGATTCAGTTCAAAGTATCTCGATCGCAATTTTCTTATTTCGGATAAGGAACTTTGAAAGTGTGTCTCAAATGCCCCAAATTGCAGGAAGAATAATTCACTCCTTTATTACCTTTCTTTCGATAGAGATTTATTGAGTATTGATTGTATTGTGGATTCCGGGGTAAACTCAATACTACGGACCGCAATTCCCGTAAGTGACAGTTGCGGCCCGTGTTTTTATCACATGGGAAACGGCGATGATCTTTCCCTGCAAGATAGCGAGGAATCCGTGCTCCAACTGTTGTCTACGCGTAGTGTGGACATCCTGCCACGTTCGGCGAGTAGACCCTAGACCTCCCTGTAGAGGCCACGTGCAGTGTCATCAGTTGACTGAGTCCCCGTTCGCCAGACCTTTCATTTGCAGTTATGCGCCGCTTTTTGTCCGCCGTTGGAGCGCGGAGTCCGCGCGCCGCCGCCCCGCGGAGCCTCCGCGCCTCGCGTTCAGCGGCGGCCGACCGGTCTGCCGCCGTCCGGCCCTTCCGCCTCCGCCTCCGCTCGCCGCCGGCACGCAATCTGGCGTAAAAACGCGGAAGGCGCCCGCGCCCTATGCCTCCCATCAGCTCAGCCGCGCCACGCGCCTCTGGACAGGAAGGGAAGTGTATGCCACGATACGAAAAATAGAATACGCATACGGAAGGAGAAGTAGGAGAAAGGAAGGAAAAGCGAAGAAAAAAACAGGAGAAGAGAGAGAAAAAATGAATGAAGGAGAGAAAAAAGAGAGAAAAAAGAGAGAGAAAAAACGAAGGAGAGGAAAAAGAGAGAGAAAAAAAGAGAGAGAAGACGCAGAGAGAAAAGAGAGAGGAAACAGAGATGAAAAAGAGAGGAAAAAGAGAGAGAGAAAAGAGAGAGAAAATGAGAGAGAAAAGAGAGAGAGAAAGAGAGAGAAAAGAGAGAGAGAAAAGAGAAGAAAAAGAGGAGAGAGAAAAGAGAGAGAAAGAGAGAGAGAAAAGATTGAGGAGAAAAGATGAGAGAAAAGAGAAAGAGGAAAAGAGAGAGAAGAAAAGAGAGAAGGGCGAGGAGAGAAAGAAAAGATGAGCGAAGAGAGAGAGAAAAAAAGAGAGCGAGAGAAAAAAGAGATGAGAAAAAGAGGAAAAAGAGCAGTAAGAGAGAGAAAAAATGGAGAGCGAGAGAAACAGAGAGCGAGAAAAAAGGAAGCGAGAGAAAAGAAGCGAAGAGAAAAAGAGACGAGAGAAAGAGAGCAGAGAAACGATCTCAAAAGCGGAGAGAAAAGAGAGCGAGAGAAAGAAAATGAGAGCGAGAGAAAGATGAGCGGGAGAAAAGAGAGCGAGAGAAAAGAGACAAAATACACAGAAAGATAAAAAGAGATAAGAGGAGAGAAAAGACGGGGCGAAAATAGAGTGGGAAAGGGAAAAGGAAAAGAATAGAGAGGAAAGAGGAGAAGGAAGAAGGAGAGAAAGTTGAAAGGGGGCAGTGAGGAAAGGGAGAGGTGAGAGCAGGACAAGATGGAAGACGGAAGATGAGGAGTGGAAGAAGCGTGAGAGATATGGAAGACAGGCCCAAAATAGGGAAGAGAAGAGATGTACTACATGAGTGTTAAAGAGGTAAAATAGAGGCGGAATTTCAAAAAGAGCAATGCAAACAGCAGAAGCGAGAAATGGTAAAAATTCCACCGAGTTAAATCGAAATAGGAGGAATAATTAGTTAATTGGAAACCCGGAGTGAGTAAATGGAAAATTGATGAAGAATTATGGGCAAAAGAATTAAAGAAAGGGGTTCAGGAGCGTTTGTTATGCTGCAAAAAAACTACCATAAACGATTTCAAATAACTGGGTCATTAAATTATTCCCCGTGACTCCTCTTACCAAACAATTTGTTCGGTCGACTTTTGCCAAATTCTCACAACTTAAACACTCCATTACCTGACATTTAATTTGCAATTTCAATAACACTATCTTTGCGAAACTATCTATTCAAAAATGTGAACTCTTCTTGATTCAATGAAGTGGTAGCCCTGTTGTGGAAAGACTTTCTAGAGGCGTCTTGCAGATCCAGACCTCTCGAATACTTTCGATGAATTATTTTTTACGACTCGCAAGGCAGTACAAGTAATGAATGAATAGAGAAGCGAGGTGCGCAGCAAAGCTTCTCCTCGGGGCTGCCTGGAACCCCCGAACGCAAACTGCATCCAACTCCCACGGCGCTTACATAGCTCTTTTTACGTCGCTGTCATCGCCCCGCGGTGCCCGACGGCTGCATTTTTCGGGCAACTAAGCTCCAGGCCGCATCAGACAGGGGTAAAATACAGCTCATCGTAAAGTCTCCCACGTACGACACCGACAAAAAAAAGAGGGCAGAGAAAAGCGAAACCTGATATGTGAGTTCTTCACGAGATAACGAAAAACGTATCCTGTGACGTCGAGGCAGATTTTTGCTGACCTCGAACGCTGCCAAGACACCGAGCAGCGAAACTTGAAAGAAAGAGGGTTGGTGGAGGAAGGAATGCCCATATTTTTACTGGAATAAGGCTTGATTCGTCAGTAAAAAGAAACTATAGAAGATTCCGGTTTATCCCACATAGTTTATTTGACATTAGGTTTTACCGACAAGTGATATAACGGAATTTTTTTAACGTTTTATGGAAACTAGTTTCTGTGACCCGCAAATGCTTGTTTTTCCTGAAGATAACGAGAGTAGCTCCAATATAAATTGAAAAATACATTCAATGAATATAAAAAATACACAGAAAAAGCTTGTCTTTTTCTCCATTACCTTATAGTACAAAATATTTGCTTAGAATGCCATTTCCACGATGAATATACCAAAAAATGTTTATTATTATTATTATTATTATTATTATTATATTATTATTATCATTAACGTTATTTCATTAATTATTATATTTTGCATGTTTTATTACCGATCTTTCCGTTCTATTTCCTCCTTAAGGTCTCGTTTTTTTCGTTAAGACTTTAACTGTTCCTTCTATCCTACCTTTTTTATGTTGATGGTTCATGTGACTTGTGTATGCATACTTTTGAATCAAATATTGTTTTTCTTTGAAGACTCCAAAAATTTTCGATGATATATACTACTTACGGTATTTATACAATTATGATAATATTATGTCTATACGAAAATATTCAACTTCAAAAACATGGATAAAGAATCTTGAAAAATGTATTTGTGAATACAATTAGACTGTCTGTTACTTTATTATTTGGAGATTGAATGCAAAAGTTGTTATTATATTTTAAGATAAAAATAATTTTCAGTTTAACGTTAGTTTGAACTGTGAGTGAATCATAGTTTTGTCAACTTTTTTAAGCGGAGTACACAAATTTGAAAGCTTAATTGATTAGAAATAATTCACTTATTAAATTTAAAAAATAAATTCAAATTTTCATTTTAATTAACTTGGCATTATTTCCGAAAATTTTGTATTTAGTTAGATATAGTAATCCGAGAAGACAACCACATTATTTGAAATGACCAAACACGAATGAAACAATCTTTTAATCCACAATTTCTAAGCTTCGAATTAACATAGTATTTTAGGCAATGAGAATGGACTGAAAGCGTAAAGCAAAGAAATAACATTATTCACGACTCAAACTCATTCTTATTCCGTTATTGTGTGAGGACCTCTAACCCCTTGTCTCTTTTTGTCTTCGTTTTCTTTTCTCCCACACTTTTCTTTTGCTAGAACCGCTAGTATCTTAAAAACGACCAGAAAAGAAGAGTGTGACATCTTGCACATGAATGGGATGCCTCAAAAGAGACAGAGCGAGGGAAGAAGATAGGATCACGCTCCACCTCCACAAACAATACAGTAAAAGGCTCATGCAAACATTCGATGAGTATCGACCGACTGCTCGTAGAATTTCGAATTAGCGGCAAAATATTCCCTCCTTTGCCGGAAAAAAAAAAAAGACAGACATGTTCAGTGAAAGCAGTACAATAAACTTGGCGATCGGTTGGCAAAAGAGAAGCAGCTGAACCTCATTTACTCGAATTTTCTTGCAGCGCTCGGTTCTCGCCGAAAGCCGCACGTGTGGCGTCACCTTACAGTCGCATGCCAATGACATTTCAATATCCAGAAAACACCAATGGGAGAGGGGGATAGAGCGGGTCAACGGCGGACGCGATATTATATTGTATTATAATTTAAGGATGATTTTTATACATGAATTTAGCAATACCTTGAACAATTTCAGTATTTGCAGGCACACAAATATCTACGGTATCTTTTTCAAGAGGTTGTTCAACATTCACGAAGTGCCACCAAATGCACAACTGTTCTCTACTTTTGTTCTAAGTTAAACTGAAACGTCATAATGGAAAAATCTGACTCTAAGAGTAAGCCGGAGTTACCACAAAGCGAATAGGCTTGGCCATGATTTCGGATACTTTAGTAATTATTCGGTAAGTGTTGAAAGCCGAAAATTTTCTCTTTTGGTGTTAATAAAGGTTCTAATAACAAAAGTCCTAAACGATGAAACACTAACTTCTTATGAAAAAAAAAAAGCAGCCAAGGTTCATCGTTGAGCCAGGGTCATCACCAGGCTCAAGGTATTTATGGTAATATCTGGCTGTAGGAGTAAGTCGGTATTACCTCAGAGCGATTGCGCATGGCCCCGATTTCTGATTGTGTAGTAAATTTTTCTCTTTTGAGGTTAAGAAAGGTTCTAATAATAAAAAGTCCTAAACGATGAAACAGCAATTCCTTACCCAAACAAAGTGAGCAAATAGGCCAGGGTCCGCCGTTCAGCACACCCTAGCATGCGACTGCAGAGGCACGCGGGGGGCACCAGGTGGGGGGCGGTGGGGCTGGAAGGGAGGCGGGTGGGCGTGGCCGGGGCAGGGTGTGGGGGGTGGGCGCTGACCTGGCTGACGCTGCTGGAGGCGCGGCGCGAGCCCACGTCCGACCACGCGGAGCCGCTGTAGCCCAGGTTGATCTGCGCGCCGCGCGCGGACACCGACATGCGGTAGGGCGACGGGCTGCGCGTCATGCCGCCCCCACCGCCGCCGCCGCCGCCGCCCGCGCCCGCGCCGCCGCGCGACGGCCCTGCAACACGGCGCAGCACGCGCTCGACAAGTGAGACAACATCCATGTTGAAAACCAAAACATCCATGTTAATAATACATCCACTAAAAACCATCGATGTGAATAATGCATCGAATTAAAAACATCGATGTTAATAATAGCTCGACTTAAAAACATCGATATTAACAATTCATCGACTTAAAAACTTCGATATTTATAATACATCGCCTTCAAAGCATCGATGTTACTAATACTTAGACTTAAAAACATCGATGTTAACAATTCATTGCCTTAAAAACATCGATGTTAATAATACATCGACTTAAAACATCGATGTTAATAATACATCGATGTTTTAAAGTTGGTATAGTAACCACTAATATTAAATTTGTGCGCAACAAAATTTAGTTTGGCAATGGACGATTTATTCGCCACGCTACTGCGCAACGGCACCGCAACATGGCGCAGCACGCACCCCGAGTAGTGATGCGACTTCGAAAAGACAACATTCATTTTGAAAACCAAAACATCGATGTTAATAATACATCGAATACTGAATGAATCGATGTTAACAATTCATCAACTTAAAAAGATCAATATTAATAATACATCGACTAAAAACTATCGCTTGTAAAGTAGCGTACCTCAGTTATGACAAAGTGTACAACACTTAGTAATGACTACATATGTAGCAAATGGAACATAAAGAGTATTTCCAGGTAATATGTTCATAACTTCCTACCTATTGATATATTTTATTACTGAAAGTGAAAACTTTTACAGTTAAGAATTAATCTAATTGTTGTTTGTAATTTCATAATAGGAAAAGGAAAATCATTGATCAGTCACCATCTAGAATTCAAACTATCCATGATCCAATGATGTGGAATGCAAGTAAATAAACTTTTATTATCTAAAGAAATGTATACATGTTTGGCTAATGCATTAATACTTTTAGCAAAGAAATAAGTTGATAAGTGCTTTTAACAGAATGATTAGGGGTATAAAGCATATTGAAAATGTTATTGTAAACAAACTTAATAGAATTGTTTAGTGGGGAAGATACAGATGATATGATGACACGGGGGGAATTATTATTCTGATGAACTTGGGGTAACCCACAAGCTTTAGCTACAAGGCAAGAGGTAGATGACAAGTGGAAGAAATTTTTTATTATTGAGTCAGTATCTACACTATGTGATGAAGAGTGTCCGGACACGTCGAAAATGGTGTTATGGTGTGGTCGAGTTTTTCATGGAGGGAGCTTGAACCCTTGTTGTTATGTGTGGCACTCCCACGACAAGGCCTACGTTGATGTTTTAAACACCTTCTTGTTGAAGAGCAATTCGGGGATGGCGATTACATCTTTCAACACGATTGAGCACCTGTTTATACTGCACGGCATGAGGCGGAGTGGGTACACGACAATAACATTACTGTAATGAGAGGCTGCACAGAGTCCTGACTTGACTCCTGTCAAACACCTTTAGGATGTTTTTGAACGCCGATTGCGTGCCAGGCCTTACCGACCACCATCGATACCTCTCCTCAGTGCAGCACTCCGCGAAAAATGGGCTGTCTTTCCCCACGAAACCTTCCAGCACCTAATTGAACGTATGCCTGCGAGAGGGAAGCTATCATCAAGGCTAAGGATGGGCCAAAAACCTACTGAATTCCAGCATTACGATGGAGGGCGCCACGAACTAGTAAGTCATTTTCAGCCTCGTGTCCGGATACTGTTGATCACATAGTGCACTTGGCTATCCACGTCCGCGGCACTTCCTTGCCACATACGCCAATATTTCAACCATCATGCTGCAACCTTTCTCAGGAAGAATGTACGCATGTATGCACGTAAGAATGTAAGCATCCCTACCCAGGACGCGGCGTCTCGTCCGAAACTTTTCTTCACCGAAATTTTTTTCTCTAGTTTTGATCAGTGGCAGTTGTTGCTGGATGCTCAATACAAACTGTAGGGATCCAACTCCTTGAAGCCATTGTTCTATAGAGCGTTCTTTGCAATCTGAATACTAAACTCAGGTGCATTGTCATGAAGACGATAAACACCATGAGATTCCACACACCGCATCAAACTCAAGTACCTCTCCACAAAAACAAGGAAGATGTGGGCTACAAATGTATAGAATTACAACTATTAAAGATAAGTAAAAACTGCACATAAGCTTTTCTCAGTAATCAGCGATATCTTGTTCAGGCCGGAAACTTACGTTCCTATATATTTTCCGCAGTGGGCAAATCTCTGGGTCAAAACCCCAGAATGAACCGGAAAGAGCAAGGACAAGCTCTAAGGGACATGTGTGTTAAAGTAGATCATTTAAGTGTGCGTGTGTGTGAAATGAAAGAGAAGAGGGCAAAAAATATGAAGCGAAGATTGTGTGCGGTCCGTGCCCTGTCAGGGTACTGACCCTGTCTTCACCTGGTTTTGATGGGAGATGTATCAGGAGAGCCAGCCGCTAATATTCCACCACGTATCTTTTCAGGGAAATGCAGAGAGTTGGTTAGAAAAACATTTTCACTGTGGGAAAAGAGGTGACACAATCATTCAAGAGCTCAAATGAGTTATACAGGCAAATGGCAAATGAGGTATACAGGCAAAACAGTGTTGATTTCGGGGTCGTCTGAGATCTATATTTCCTTAAGCGTAGTGCATGGCAAATGCAGGGTAGTGGCTGCTTTCCTCCTTCGCAACGAGACTTCCGGTGACGGCGTACAAGTTGGCTTGCGATTTTACCTCCTCCAGTATTTTCTACAGCGTGATATCGCTCTGCCGATACAACCTGCAAGTTCCAGGCTAGTTTTCCCACATGTATGGAAGTATAGTAGAGTTGAAAATTTATTTTTATACTTAAGAATACATAGAATATTTCCGGTGGTAGCGTTTTCTAAATAGTTTCAACAAATACACACAAGAAACATTATAATATTTACATATTACTTTGAAACCTTATACAAAATTAATGTGTTAATCCTATCATACTAAAGCTGACCTAATATAAAAGAACAATAATAATACACCAACAAATTTAATTGCAACAAATTCTAAATAAAATACAATTTATTTAGTGTAATTAAAATAATTGACATCCCGAGGGAAAGTTTCCAGCACTTCAGGTAATCCGTCCAATTTTGAACTGTTCTGTTTACAAATGAGAATTTACCGACATCTGTTTTCTGTTTTCTTTGCCGAATTTTGACGCCATGATCCTTCCGTGTTAGTGTAAGTAGGTGTGTTTAGGTGTGTGTATATATAAGAGGAGAGAGAGAGAGAATGAAGGTTGAGGAGGGAAAATATCGCGCGGAATACGTGACTCGCTGGTTAGGGTATTGCTCTAACATTGTGTAGTTGATGGATACTACCAATCAGAGTAGCCGGCCATTAGAATTCTTCTTCTGAAACCCTCGGAGAAATACCGTCAGGTGGTTACAATTCGCACTGCAGGGGGTAGGTGATGAGAAATTTATGAGATTGGTTTAACAATATAATAGTCAGACTAGAAATTTGCAACATAAGTAATCGTTGTGGACTAAGAATCTAAGCCTTGCCTAAAGTGAATAAAGGTCAGGGAGATAAATTGAATGAGACTAAGTGGGGAACAGAATCTACTTTCGAAATTGCGGAAACCCAAATGAAATAAATGGCTCTGAAAATTTGAAACATTAATAACAACAAAAGAACACTTCGGTGCCTTATATGGACGGAAAAGGCTTACAGTATTTTTGTGATATTAAATAAAATATATTACGGAATTATCCCAATTTCTTACCCAAAATAATTTGACTATCTATAAATATATATAGGACCACATTTATTTAATTAAATTTCAATCGTAAGACAATCATAAAATAAGAAACACTACATTTATGTTTCCATATTTCTTTCACTTTATTCTATAACCATTCTCATCCTATTCTAAACTTCCTAAGCGAAGCGTGTAATGCCAGGGGTAGCGCCGAACTCTGAGTCCTGAATCACTGATATCTGAACTGACATGCTATTAACAGTAGTGCTGTGATAACCAGGAAACTGGTGGGGAGTTGTAATCCTCCGCTAAAGCCGTGACTATTGCGGTCGTCCCCTCTTCGCTACCGCCGCGTCAATCGATTTCTCGATAGAATTCGGTGTTTTGTTTCATGGAGTTAGGTATGGTGTAAGGATTATTATTACACTGTGTTTCGTTTTCAAGTAACGTGTTTGCGTATTTGTATTATGTTTTGTTTTCATGAGTTTCCGGTAAGTTGATCTCTAATTCGTGTTCGCATTATTTTGTTCCGTTGTATTTCGATTAGCTTTGCCTGTGCAACGGGAGCCGTCATGCCTTTTAAGCATCTTGCAACCTTATTATAAAGCTGCCGCCGCCAAGAAAATCAATATTGACCCTTTTACATATGATGCATACCATGGTCCCTATCATGTGCTGGTAATAAAGGAACATCTTTAATGTGTTATTGGAGGCTAGTAGAAGTGCTGCAAATGAAGCATTGAAATATTATCTCAAAAGAGTTGTTAAGATAACAATTTTGGAATTATTGAAATTAAAAAATGGTTAGAAAATCATGTGTTATTGATATCATTTATCTGAAGCTATATTATTATTATGAAGTTAAAATATTCGCGAATTTTAATCATTTGCATGTGTTTTGTGTTGGTTGAACAGTGATTGTGCTATAGATTTCGTATTATGCCACTTCTAATCTATTCGAATGAGTTCTTGCAAAGTGTCCTTCCAAAGAACCGGATAATTGAAATATTCAGCATTTGGCTACGTTTATCAAGTTAAAAATTGAGGAATAAACAGTGTTCAATATTCCTACGCAGCTGAATTTTGAAATCTAGTGAAAAACTTGGTAAAATCTGGGCACGGAATCGTTTATTGAAAAGTATATGCGCCTGTTATTCTGTTACTTAATGCAATTTGACACCATTATGTACGATAATGTTCAATTGCAAGATCAAACGCAAGT